CGGAAAAGGGCAATTTTGACCTACAAACGCCATGGGACCATATATTCTTTTCAGTATATTTTGTAAGTGCAAAGAACAAATTTTTCAATGATACCAAGAATTTGTCTGAAATTACAATAGGTAAGTACTGAGAGGGCCTAAGATTTGTATTGGGTTCTATGGGAAATTAATTGGCACTCTTTTCCCCATAACTGATGCCCAAGGGAGATGATGAAAATTTTTATGTTAACTTTGGGGGGTATCAACATATCAATTTCAATAACTCAGGAATTATCAGTCAAAGTTACACAAAATTTCGGTTACTTGTTGTTTGAATTTGAATTAAAATATTGATAACAATACTGGAAAACATATTGGAAATAAAAGTTTTAATTTTATTCAAAAGTTTATTACGCGTTTCTTTTTCCTTTCAGTATATATGATGCATGTGTCAGAATTTAATGTTTATTTCCTGCAGCATGCAATTACTCGAGGAATTGATAAAATTTAAACAGTATCGATTAGTTGTTTTTTCATTCGACTATTGTTTCCATCATTCAGACGCATGTCTTTATCACACATATCCAAGCGGTTAGATGACAAAGACTCATGTAAATTGTTAACTTGATTTCATTCGAGGCGACAATTTAATGTTCATCAATCTTTTTTTTGTTTCATATAAATGAGAACGTATCAAGTTTTCATTTTTTAAAGTAAAATGTTGATTTCAACTTGTTTTATGATGAGATACAAAATTGAGAAATAAAGGACGGTTCATGGTGAAATTCATTGTCTCTTGGTCCAGGGCTTAGCCTCAGGCTTTTGGTCAAATTATAGTCTTGGATTCAGCTTTCAGGTCCTTCAAAGAGACTACGTTGGTAAAAATGCATTAGATACCTCTCTTGTCTTAAAAAAAGCTTTTTTTTAAAAAAAGATCTTTTATTGCAGTCAAACGTATTGCATGATTGCATATCTCTCGCGAATTTTTCATTAATATGGAGACACCACTGCTTGCTTGTGGAAGGCTAAAAAAAGTTTGACATATACTCGGCACTTATTTGGTGCTGAACAGTGAGGGATCGTTTTCGTGCAAAGACCAACTAAGACACGGGATCTCTGTTTTTAAATTGTCAATTGAAGCACTCCTCACCACCTCGCACAATGAGATTCGAATTAAAGAAGAATTGAAGGGTCAACTCCTTTTCCTAGACTCTATGGAGCTTACGCTTTTACCACTACACCACGTGTGGGCGACTTGAATTTTAAATGCGGGCAGTGACACTGACGTCGGCATTTATTGACGTCATAAACATTGTTTTCCTGCTTTATCAAACATAAGCATAAGACTTTGACCATTTTTTGTGTCATACATGTACATATAAACGGAGTTGAATTTGCATATTTTACTAACCCTTATACTTGTACATTACATTTACATACTGGATTTTTTTTGTAGAAACGCTGTCGCTTCCAAATAATTCGGAAACGTCTTGTGTAAACGATTTATTCATTTATTTTTAATGACGTGCAAAATACATATGTGCATTTACATCAACCGTAAACCATTTATAGCAAGCTTTAAAGGTGCTTGGATACAGCTTTGAAGTTAATATTTTCTTAATTTCGGTATAATATCATGACTAATCTTATATGTTTCAATAGCATTTAAATTGGAAATATACTTTTAAAAAAACACACAACAACTGTTTCGGTAAACAGGATCGACACGAGCTCTGTTATTGTTAATGTTAACGTCTCAACGGGTGTACTCAGTTTGTTTAAGTCTGCACACACCACCGAACACGGACTGATAATACTGATGAATTGGTTTTGTTTTCTCACTTTTCTACGGTATATTCTGGATAGTAGTTTGAATATATATTTATTAATTCACAACCAAATTTATTACTTTTTTTCAGTATTAAAAGTAAAGTTTGCTTTATGAAAGAGCAAGGATGTATCAATCAAGCGCGTCCCGAAATTCGTGGTTTAAATAATTTCCAGAAAAAGTATATATTTATTATGTTTCCAAGTTAAAATGCTATCAATAGCAAGGTATATTATATCATATTTTTGAAATCATGATATTATACCAAAAATTCATAAAATATCAGCCTAAATTATTTGTCCTAGCTAGGACCCTTAATGAATGAAGCTCGCTTGCGCTTGCAGTAAATCAAAATAAAAGTTTTAATTCTACAATGATTACTATATTACAGAAATAATATTCAAAATGAAAAAAAAAATGATATATTGAACACGAACATATGACTGACAATTAGTGATATTTATTTATAGAATGGTAATAAATAGTGACTAATGAACAATCAAATACAACATTTGATGAACCTGGCAATTTATCTTTAAAAAATTTTATGAAGAAAATGTTGTCGAGTCCTAAGTATACATTTCAAACATTTTGGACTCTACAGTAAATTATAAAGAGAACTATCTAATTTTGCTGTTACAAATTTAATGACATTGTAATAGAAAAATGACTACATTTGTTGAATTCATAATACTGCCCGAGTTAGTTATACTCAGACTGATTTAACGTGAATGAATTTGACACTCTATAAATTATTTACATTACATGTATTTCAATTTTCATATATTGCAATAAACTTACAAATTCAGAGTAATAAAATTAACAGTTGATATTTAAGTAAAGCTCAAATGAAGGATATGTAGATAACGAACAGAAATGAAATCTGAGCTGAATTTATAACTTTAAATGAAAACGCATAAGGATATACAGCAAAAATATAAAAGAAATGTTCCTTGAACATAAGCAAGATTTTAATCAAATAAAATATAACATTCTCTCTTTTTTGTTGCAAGAAATGAAAATGATTTCTTTACAGAACCAGTATCCTAGAATACGTCGATTGTCAAATTGATACAGTACCCGCATCGTTATTCTTTACAAATCCATCGTGTCCTATCGTGCGTATATCCTATCGTATCGTGCGTGTATCCTATCGTATCGTGCGTGTATCCTATCTTATCCTATAGTACCGTGTTTTCCGTGTATCGTGATTTGCGTTTTTTATCGTGTTTTCCGTTTATCGTGTTTTGCGTTTATCGTGTAGATCGTTTATCAGGTTCTATCGTGTATCGTGTTTTGCGTTTATCTTGTATATTCGGAAACCCTCACTTTTTATCTTTACTACAGGAAGAAGCTACCGAGGTATTCCGAGTTCCTTTTTCGTTTTGTTAACTAATTAAAATAAGATTATTTTTACCAAGAAAAAGAAGATAGTTTAATTCCTTAGTTTTTCATCATTAAAAGAAATATTAAAGCGTGGAGGGAAAAGAATAAATATTTAAATAATATAATTAATAAATTAAACAATTAATGATAGATTAAATTAAGAAAATTATCGTATCATAGACAAGCAGAAAATCAGAATTTATTTTTGAAAATGAAATAATCGATTCCCTTTTGGTTTTTTTTAATTCATGGAATTGAGTCACTAGAGGATTATTTTCCGTAAGTCACGGAAAATTTTAATATTAATTAACAGAGGATTTATATGTATCTTTTTTAAATGCAATACACATTAATTTTTTTTCTCCCGATCCATTGTCAGGTAATATCAGGAATGTGTTTTCGCCTCTGATCTGCATGTACACTTCTGCACAATTGTTTAAAATCTTGATTTAAACAAATAATAACGAAGGATTTAAGACATCGATCCAGATAACTTTTATACAGATTTTCTCCGTATAGTTACAATTCGTTAAATTCATTTTTATCACTATCTAATTTGTTAATTTTTTTAATTTGTCTAAATCTAAAAACGAATTATATCAAATTTATAAAATGTAATGCAGGAAAATGTTATACCCAATTATCACACCATGCATGGCAGTTACTATAAAATAGAAGTTTTACATTAATTCTAAAAAATAATAAACAGGAAAAAACATGATGACCTTGAACAGCTTACACTGTATATTAGATTAGCGGGTAAGTCTAAAATAATTTTCAGGGTTTAATAATTCATAAAAAACATTTTAGTAGCAATGATTTTTAATTATTTAGTCGTAAAAGTCACATTTCACCCTTTTAATATTTGTTTCTAAATTTTTGTGTTTTCTATTGTAAAGAAAAAAAGTCATTCAATGTTCGTTAATTAATACGAGGTTTTAAGTACATGAACATAAGTTAGATCTTAGCGTTAATGTACACGTACATGTGCAGTTGTAGCAGGTTCATATCTGTTGACACAGCTAGTTTAATGTATTAATGCAGAGCGCTATCATATTAACAGTTATTTCGATTTCTACTCAGGAAATAAATTTTCTTGAACTATATATTTCTTTAAATTTGGTTTCTTTGGACCTGTCTTTCGGCCAGTCTTCTACATGTATTTCTTCCCTAGGATTTTAATATTTAATTGCGATTTTTGAGCACACCGCAAATTGAAAGCTTTATACATTAAATTCAAGTATTTAATTTATTGCGTAAATTTCTTCCGTGAAATAATTTAGCATTGGTAGATAATTTATTAGGTACAAATGTATATTTTTTCCATAAATAAAAAATCAATAAGTTTATAGAGATTCATTAATTTATAATAGTACACGTGAGAAACGGCACATAATTTCTGTAAAGTAAACACTGATCTCAATTTTGTTTATTATAGGAATTAAACGTAATTTATAATTTAGATTTGAAGCTTTGCAAGTACTTAATTTAAAAGATTATAGTAACTAAACAAAATAATCTTTTCGTCTTCTTAGAAAACGTTCCGCATTTTGAAACAATCTTATCAGGTTTTGCGTTTATCCTATCTTGAAGATCGTTTATCAGGTCTATCGTGTTTTGTGTTTATCGTGTTTTGCGTGTATCGTGTTTTGCGGTTATCGTGTTTTGCGTTTATCCTATCGTGCGTGTATCCTGTCCTATCGTGCGTGTATCCTATCGTATCGTGCGTGCATCCTATCGTATCGAGCATGTATCCTATCGTATCGTGTATCCTGTAAAGAATAACGATGCGGGTACTGTATATGTTATCCATGATGTGCTTTGGACAAGGCCTTTGTTCTTTATCAGAACTTGTTCTTACTTCCACAACGTCACTTTCACCACTGACAAAAATCTTGATTCTCATCTGTTATGCTATTTTTGGCAGTAAATTCCAATCTCATAATCCATATGTCTCTGAAAAGTTTGCTTTATTTCTGTACTCAGACTCTCCACAGTATTTCTTATTCTAATGAATGTGAAAAGGATGTAGCGATTTATTTAAACCAGAATTGCATCATTTTATTTTTGTTAATATCATGTGGATTTCGGAGAACATGTTTTGGACACGATCTTTTTTCTTTACCGGTAATTGTTTTTGTTTCTACAATTTGACTTTCCTTAAGGAAATACTCGTCATCCTCATCTGTAATGTTTATATCTATACAAGAAAACCCCCTTTCATATTCAATATGTCTGTGAAAAGTTTGTGTTATTTCGTTAATTAGACTTTCCACTGTATTTTTGATGTCTATGACGCATTGGGACTGCAGATCCATATCTTTATCTGCAGTAAAAACCTGTAACTGAATGGACGTTTTGTTAACAGCAATTACAATGTAATGGCTAGCATCTTTTACCGTGTAGAATGCTGCATTTTTACAAAAGAACGCCATATCAAGTGCTTTCCATTTCCTAAAGCAGTTCACTACCAGCCTAAAGAAGAAAAAATGAGGCAAGTACGTTTTGAAATGGTACACCATAATGGACGTTTTTTGTCCTTTGTTGATTGCATATTGACATTTATCATTAAGTTCAGTTCTGTTCATGCTCGGGATATAATATGTTTTACCGCTAGGATCATCCGCAATTTCTGTCATTAAACCAAGTTTGTCCATGTATGGTAAAATATCATCTTTATGTTGAATATAAGAGTTGTCTCTTGTATAATGCCATATTTCTCTCAGTTCAGACTCAGTTATTCTTCCTGTGTTAATCAATTTATTTTTGCTCACCATTCTAGCTAGATGTTTTTCATCAGTTATGATGTACTTGAAAGCATCGACGAACCACTGAACGTTAACAATTATCACATTTTTCATTTTCTCCTCAGCAAAATAAACAACTTGACCTATTTCATGTAGGAACCGAAGGCCATCATTTAAATCTTTATCGCTAGGTAAATCCGCATTGTTTAATTCTTTTATTTCTTGTACTGAAATAACTTTCCTTCCATTTTCTTTCATTTGAATCAGAGTTTTCTCAAGATTTGCCCATTTTAGAGGAATTACCTCTCCCCATTGTGGCATCTTTTCTACAGTTTCTACTATATGTTTTCTGAGGCATTCAATTGAGTCCTGTTGTTTTTGTGACAATTCATTTGGCGGACATTCGACGTTAAAATATCTGTTTGGAGATATAAGATGTTTCAAAGATTGTTCATCAGATAGGCAGTTCTCCAATTCATCGTAGAACGTTTTCGGCAGATTCTCATTCTGTTTAAAAAATAATTTATAATTGTGCTTTCAATATTATCTTTAAAAAAAATTATCAATAAAAAAAGCTATAGAATGAAAAGTGGAACAAAGGGCCTTAACAGTTACCTGATTTTGATAATACACTTTAAACAATCAATAGAAGTGCTTAATAAAATTAACTGATAGATGAAGCTACTGTAAATATACTACATTTGGCGTTTCATTCTATTTAGCGATTTTGGCGGAAAGCAAAATCCACAAAATCAAGTACATCGAAAAATATCTTATTAATTTTACATATACCTTTACATCTAGCACATTTAGATGGTACTAAACCAAACCTTCACTAACTTGCTTAAAAAAATGAATTTCCATAAAAATCGTACCCTCAAAGTATAATATATGTACCGTATATTGCCCAAGAAGTTCCCATGCTATTTGTATAGATGACACCCTAACGATCTTCTTGGAATCCCTCTTGATTTGCAGATGTCTTACAAGGATGACAACAAGACGAAAGACCACCTTTAAGCAATTGCTTAATGGTAGCTTAAAGGTGACTTAATAGTGGCTTAAAGGAGTTAATTCCTTTTAGCCACCATTAAGCCACCATTAAGCTGCAACTTACAAGTGTTTAATGTCCAAACTTCATAAAGCTATCATTAAGCTACCTTTAAGGTGAGCTTAATGGTGACTTAATGGTCAAATCTTGTTAAAAGTTTACGCATCTTTGAACGAACTTTTTAATTTGTTTCCATATCTTTTACGTAAAATCTATTTCAACTCATAGTTTTGTCTCCGTCGTAATTTCTATATAATATTTTGTCAACATGCATAAACAATGATAAACACGGGCACTGATGACAACGTTAACTAATAGCCACAAGGGCTTGCTCCCGGTGTCTAATCATTATTTATTAAAAAAAATTAATTTACAGTAATAATAAAACAAGACATGCTTTATTATAACCTATATGATTTTAGCTTTGTCGTAATTTCTATATAACATTTTTGACAATATGCACAAACTAGGGCACCGAGAAGAAAAGTTACCTAATATAGCCACAGGGGCTTGCTCCCGATGTTTTATAATTATTTTGAAAAAAAATAATTTACAGTAATAATAAAACAAGCATAATGAGAGTATTGCATGAGCAATACATGTTCCCTACTGGGTTCCCCTTTATCTTCAGCATGTCATTTTATTATAAGCAAAAGTCATGTCCAAGGTAAAACTGAATGATTTTAAAGTTGTAAATGCCTTAAAACTAATAAAATTATCCACATTAAGACGAAAATTTAACTCATTTCTCCACCGTTTTTTCTGCGCTTCATATTTTTGTTGACAATCGGAAGTTAGCGCAGTTCGAACCCGATCTTAATTTAGAGATTATGAAAAAATAATAGAAATGCCATAATTCTGTCAAAAGTCAATGAAGCGAAGTGAAATTCAAACTTGGTCTGTAACTCATTTAGATACACTTACATACCAAAATTCAGCTCAATATCTGCAATCGTTTAGAAAAAATGGGGGGAAAACCAAGTGGGACAGACTGACGGGGACAGACAGACGGACAGACAGACATACAAACAGACGGACGGACGCCGAGGAAACCTATAGTCCCCCCGGTTTCACCGGTAGGGGACTAACAAGACACGCTTTATCATTACATATATGAATTTTTTTAAAATTAACTAGAACTGTCCAATAGGGACAAATACCCCCCGTGTGTTTTTCAGAGAAGGTGCAAATTTAAAAATACTTTATGGATCTAGAGGTGTTCACAATTTATATACGAGGGTTGTCCCGTTAAATCGTGGACAAGTTGTCTAGTCTGAAGAACAAGCATTCTGAGAGTATTGCATAAGCAATACATGTCCCCTACCGGGTTCCCCCTTTTTCTCAGGATGTCATTTTATAACATGCAAAAGTTATGTCCAAGGTAAAGCTGCATGATTTTTATTTTGTGAATGCATTAAACCTATTAAAATAATCCACATTAAAACGAAAATTCAACTCATTTTTCCAGCGTCTTTTCTCGCTTCATATTTATGTCGACCATCGGAAGTTAGCGCAACACGAACCCGATCTTAATTAAACAAATGTGAAAAATTCAAAATGCCATAATTCTGTCAAAAATCAATAAAGCTATGCAAAATTCAAATTGGATCTGTAACTCATTAAGATACACCCACTTACCAAAATTCAGCTCAATATCTGCAAGCGTTTAGAAAAAAAGTGTGGAAAACCAAGTGGGACAGACTGACGGGGACAGAGACAGACAGACGGACGGACGGACGGACGCAGAGGAAACCTATAGTCCCCTCCGGTTTCACCGGTAGGGGACTAATAATCATCATTGCGTCCTGAAATTTTCACCACTCTTTAGTAGATAAATAATGAATATACATAGCAAATTTCAAATAAAGAAGTGCATAGGTTAACAAATTGTGATATTTTATGCTATGTATTGTATCGCACTACGGCGCACCGATGATAACGTCAAAGTGTCTAAAACAGCGTCACGTTTCATCTTTGCTAAACTTAAAGTTGGATTAGCCCCACTTAAATTTAGAAAATTTTTATTGATTTACATATGTGAGTATCTATAACCAGTTAAGAAACCAATGTGGCACACTCGTGCGATCTTCTGAATATCTATTAGCAAGTTACAGACAGTATTCTCACCATCATTCAACTAAAGAGAATCTCACATCGAAGGTCGACAGTGACAGCGTCCTTTGCTATTACAAATGGCAGTCTGTCCATATGTTTTGTACTATCTCTGGACTCGACCACGAAGACTTCACTAAGGAAACTTTCATTTCATTTATATACTATAGACCTATTGATATTTTTCACATTTTCTTTCTTCTGTATTCATTTAAAGTCTCTTAAGGCGTCATTACAACATCCTAATTTTTCTGAACTGCTCTCCGGTGCGCCGCAACGTCATAAAAAGTCGCCATTTTTCGTGGTTTGCGTTTATTACTTGCCCATTTCAAATGCTCAGCTAGGAAACTGCCAAAAATTAACCAAATGCCTTGAAATTTTTAAAAAGACAACAGAATTGATTAAGGAATGGAATAAGGATAATTTTCAGCCTAATCTTATGTATTGAAAACTTTTGTTACGAATTAATTCTTATGTACTCTCTAATAAAACCTTACTATTTTTACCGTGCGCCGTAGGACAATGCCTTGTGCACATTCAAACAGAATAAAATCTGTATTTTTGAATATATATCATAAAAAACATTATGATTCACTTAGATATGATGAATAAACATTTACTGAAAATTTCAGCTTAGTGCGCCCATTACTTTTCGAGAAAAACGCTTTGTCCACGATTTTGTGGGACAACCCTCGTACTTACAAAAAATTTCAGTGAAATCTAATGTCACTCTGCAAACTGAATGTTGAAAAAAAACATTATACAAAATTGAATTAATCTTGATATATCAATTTGAAATGCATTTTGAAAATAAAGAGCTGGTCATCCAGTAATGAAGTGCTTTGATAGACAAGAAATTACAATTAAGAGAATAAGAGAATAAGAGATCTTTAATTCTTGCGCCTTATTCCATGGAGATTAGATAACACACACACAGGCTTGATAAAAGATATGCCTTAACAACTTCCAACACCAAACTCATTAATTGATCTTTAACTGGATGCATGTCCAGTTATTATTCCCAAGAGACAAATGAAATTACATTATCTTCTGTGCAATGTAAAAACTGTTTTTAACACCTGGTGATGTTTCTTTTTTTAAAGTTTTTATGAGTAGTTTTAAGCTGTAGTATTTTTGAACAGATATTCTAGATTCTATATCTCAAACCTTATACATGAGGCCAAAATGAACAAGTCAATTAAAATAAAAATTAAAACCTGTAAAATGCAAAAAAAAGAGCTGAAAATTCCAGGTGCACACCTTCATATGGTGAATAATAAGTGTACAAATTTTCAGATTAACTTTGTAACAGTTTCTGAGAAACGGTCAGGTCAAAACCACAAAACAAAAATGAAAAAAACACCTGTAAAATTCAAAATAATAATCAAATCAAGATGAAAATATCAGGTGCACAACCTTATATGGTGAATAATATGTGTACAAATTGCCAGACAAATCCTTCTAATAGTTTCTGAGTAATGGTCCGGACAAAATCTCGTCTACAGACAGACAGACAGCTAGACAGACAGACGGACATGGTGATTCCAATTTACCCCCCTAAACTTCGTTTGCGGGGTTATAATAATCATTACACACGTTGTTTTTATTATTTGTGTATATTATGTTTTACACAAATAATTATTACACGCCGGAAGCAAGCCCCTGTGAAATATCTTATTTTTTCACCACCGAAAATCAATTTGTTCCTAAAATTATCTTCATCCATTAATACAAAATACATTACTTTTTTAAAAAATAAAGATGGCATTTTTATTTTATGTGTTAAAAGCAACATTCCGCTACAGAATATAAACTAAAGTCAAATGTTCTTATGTAAAACAAAAAGTCTCTTTTTTAAATTTTTTTTGGCGGGGGACTACCGGTATAAAATGTTTTGTTTTCAAAGATTGAATTTTACATTATGAATAATTTGAATTAATACATTATTTCTTTTTATATTATCTGTCAAAATCTAGTCGGTATTCAGTGTTTGTTATTTCAAAATCCAATCATATTAAACATGACATCCGTGATCAGACCAGATTTATACACATTGGGAAAAGGGGCAAGATTAAGTAACAGGAAACTATGCATACACAGCGTACACCATGGTATAATGACAGATTTTGATAATCATTTTTTTTTTTACAAAATTTAAATTTAACGCAAGCATATAACAAATTGCAATTTATGATTCATTGTAAAATGACAATCATTTTGATACCCATTATGATAAAAAGAGAATTTTAACTGAATATGATATTCGAAAAAAGTGTTTGTAAACATAATCAGGTAACTCGTAAATGACGATTGTCACTTTATTGTAAACACAAAAACAATCAATATCCGCAGCATATTAAAAAATAATAGAATCTGTTGTTTTTTTATCTTTCCTTTTCAATGAATGGTTTTGTGTTTTATCTATAATTAATTTAAATTCAATTATGATTTTATGCTTACATGTATAAATCTTCGAATAACAGATCGAAGAACTCATTACTTCAACCTAAAAGCCGAACTCAACGGTTTAGAAATATTTATGTGATATAAGCCTTTTAAAAAGATCTATAAATAGAATTGTTTATATTTTGATTAATAAATCAATTTATGACTTTGGAAACGTTCAACAAAATAAATACTTTTAGAAGTCCAAACAAATTTTGTAAAAAATAAATAAAAAATTTCTATTAAAATCAAAAGCGGCGATAGTCTTATGGATAATTCGACTGCCATATACTTGAAAGGTCAAGGCTTCACGCCCCGTCTGCGGTGATTTTTTTTTTGGGGGGGGGGGTGTTAAATTTTGAATTTCGTTTTTTTTTCAATATTTTTGCCTAATCAAGATATGTTCGAACTCGACATTTATAATTTTTATAACAAATCAATATAAAAAAAATTAAGGACCTATAAGTCGCAATTTAATCAGGATTAGAGGGTGTGTTTCATCTTGTGGACTTTAAATGCAAAATATACAAATAAAATAAATGCTTTTCTAATGTAAAAGGTGTTAAGAAAATTCGCTCCACATTTTTCTTTTACTTTCGGAAAGAAATTCGATGAGAAGATATTTACATTTTGTGATATTTTATGTTTACAGGGTCCATTCCTGCTACTGATAAGGTTTTAACTGTCTTTTGTTGAAGCAATCAGGGGAGGGCAGGTATTAAAACAGATGATGTCTCTTCAGAAAAATCAGGGATCACGCACATTTGTGATATTTATTAGGCACACAGGTCAAAACACCCTTTCAAATACTATGCAAAAATTATCAAAGTGGTCGAAAATTTCAAATAACAAACCTATATTCTTTTGAAAAGTGTTCTATCCTTGTTATACCTTCGCTTATCAACTTGTCTGATGCAAGATAAGCTATGAAAAAACAAAAGTAGATTATTCTTTATTTTCACACAAAATGACAGCATTTCTATCATTCGGACGCTTTAAAGATTTTATATATTTTTTTCATATGGAAGAAAAATCCTATAATTTCCTTCTAGAAATAAATTGCTTTAAATCTAAAGCACACTTTTTGTCAGACTTGAAAATTAATCTCTTTAGTTAAGCACAACTTTGAAATTTTTGAAAATATTTCAGCACGGAACAAACTTTCTTAACACCCGTTACAATGTAAAACATCTGATATATACAGACATGTTTTAGTCATTTGTTTAGTGCATTAATTTAGTCCTCAATGTCCTATAAAGATTTCAACTAATGAGTAGAGAGATCAGAGTGGGACTTGGTGTCAGTGAGGAGTGAGAATTCCCTTCAACCAAGTCACACCCGCCATGTGCCTTTTGTCATGTTTGTGTAAACGGATTAAGTCCGTGAATCTTGAATCTAAGGATCATAAAGCCTTTGTTTATTAAGCATAAGCAAAGTAATTTCGTGTCGATAGTTTTGAAGGATTCATATTGATTTCTTACCACTCTGTCTGCATGGGAAGCAACAATAATAACAGGATAAAGACTGGCTATTGAATCCGTATTTTCGTGAATTGTGTGCTTTTTTCCAACATCACAGTATGTCTTTATGGATTGCAACCAGAAATGAAAATAATCTGAAAAGAGCAATAAGATATGACATTGTATGAATGATTTAAAGGAACTCCAACATCAAAGACTACGAACGAATAATATAGACGAGTACAGTTCTTAAATTTAGTGTTTAGCTCATTGTGAATTTTACCTGATTATTACCGTTATTGAAAAAAATCACTTTACTAATGTTCAAAGGAATAAACTCATCTTAGAATATCTTTATTTCATGTGTTATTTAGTTCTATTATACCTCTACTGAATTTTTCTACATAATTAAATTAATTTATTAGATGGTTGTTATTTATTTATTTGAAATTGCTGTAGACTAATATGTGTGCGTAATTAAGAAGAACTTATCCCTGATCGAAAGGTAATTGCTGGTAATCTGCATGTGATCCATTTCATTTTTCTTTTGTATAATTCTCATGACTTTCTCATGACTTTCCAATATGATCGTTTGCAGGAGTAGAGAATATCTTGATACAGTCGAAAAATTAAACCTCAATATGATGGTTGTTTATAAACATTAATGCATTCAAATGTTAATTTTGTATTTTAGCAAGACTTAAAGATGTAGTCGCTCATGTCGGACGTAAAGACCAGTCCAAGTTTTTTCTTTAACGTTTAGGATCTAAAACCTATCTTTCTATCCGATTAATCCCCGCACACATCTAAGGGGAAAGACAATGTTTTAGGGAAAATAGAAGAAAATTTAATCTTCATTTAAGAATTATTATCGCGTTGTAACTTCTGCTCGTACACTACTACTTAATTGAAACAAAAATAATCTAGTACACAACTTAAAATAATGATGCCAATACTAAAAGTGTATAATTGCGTTTCAAATTAAAGATTGATATTTATCGATATCAATTTGAGTTTGTTTATAATTTCTTGATTTGAAAACCAACTTCTCCCCGGACTATAAACATAGAAAAAACTTGGAATGGCCTAACCTTGCAGTCAACTTGAGACTTATTTAAAATGTTCTTTGTTGACATGAAACTTATTGGATTTAATCATCACCTACGTATATGTCAATCACTTTGAACTATTCAATCAAAAATAATCATTGACATTTTGATTTACACAGAAATATATTATTTTTATTGGTGAAATAGACACTTTCATCTCTTTCTTACTGAAATTTTTTAAAGAGAAATGACAAGGGGTACGTTAAAATCGCTACTTTATTTGGTCATTACCTTTTTATTACGACAACAAGAAACAGCAAATAAAATCATAAATAAATAAATAAATGTTTAAACCTTAATGCCCTATACATATAAATGTTTATTTATTTGCCAATAGTTTTAAACAGATATTTAGCGATTCAGTTTTTTTATGTGAATGATAAAGCTGTACATGTAAAAAGTATAGAGGAAACATTCTATAATGTGTAGAATAGAAAGAAGAAAAACATTGTTCTTTATTTATATATAAATGGTGCCTGTTTTGGGGGGTGATAATTGGAATTGACACCCCATGGAAAACCACTGTCAACCGTAGTCTCGTTCAACCAGACGCTCGGCTGTCTCCGTAAATCTCCGACCAGCAGAGAGTCTGGTAAAGAAACACGTAAGCGTTTGTAACCGTCAGAGGGCGCTATCTTGTTTTCAATTTGAAGATCCTTTTTGAAAACAAGTGTTAAACGTGTTTTTTCTTCTGGATTGTGACTTTATATTGATAAATTAATATTTAATTTTGGACTCCAAACGAGAAATAACAATATCAATCGAAGGAATGTGTATTACGCAGGTCGGGCTACACTACTTTCACTTAATTTGGTTTCGTACAGAATAATTGCACGACATAATGAAACACACTTACCTATAACTGGTGGGCATTACCGTAAATAATTCCTATCTAGCATCTTTAACCTTTAGACACATAATTTTCACATCTTTAAATTATTTTTCTGCTGATTTATCATGTATTTATTTAAATCGCGTAGGTGTGTTCTTTTCAGCCAATCAAAAACTTTACCAGAATTTTGGTAAACCTCGTTTTGGCGTTACAAACGATAATGCATATCTTTACCAGACCCTCTGGGTGGTCGGAGATTTACGGAGACAGCCGAGGGTCTGGTTGAACTAGACTACTGTCAACCGACGCGTCAGCGTAGGTTGACAATGGTTTTCCGAGGGGTGTCAATTTCAACAGCTATCCTTCAAAATAGACACTATTTATTTTAATATTATACTGAATGTCTTATTGATTTAGGATGCAAGGGGAAAAATCTCCGATCGACTTTACGTTCACGTTTAGTAAACTTTCACACTCCTCGCTACTTCGAAAAAGATTAACACACCTCTTAATTCTTTATTTTATCGTCCAAGAGTCCCTTATCCTCTAGAATTTAGTTGGGTTTTTTATTTCCACTCGCAAGCATGTTTCGTCTGGTGTTTGTTGTTTTCAAGGACGCTACATCGGACACAAGTCTCTCAAACGCACAACGGACATTTTGAGAATTCTAAGGTGAACAGTACGGGCATAATTTGCACGTATGTGACAATTTCATTGTGTTACCTGTTGTCAAGTGTGTTGCTTAGGTGAAGGGTAATAGAACTGATTGTTAACTGCGTCTTAACCAGTCAGATTTTAATATTTAACATGATAGTATACCGGGTAATAATTTAAATCATGCATATTATATATAAAATGTATTAAGGGAAATATCTATAGATGTGTAAAATTACAGGATAAGAAAAACATTGTGTTGTTGAAACCAACCTTTGTATTTCCAGGAATGGAACAAGGATCCATCCGGGTTATGACGATCAGTGTGGTGAATTCTAACTTCTTCATCTAAACCCTTGGACATGTCGACAACAACGACATAAAACGCTCTCCGTGACAAGTAAACCTGGTGACACGCGTAATAAGCTACCTGTCCGGCAAAGTCTGTCATACTGATCAGCTTTGTACCACGGCTGCTGTGAAGATGTATTCCTTTGATAACCTTTCCTTCTTTCTCGTCTTTGTCCCGTATAAATCTTGCTACAGAACTTTCTTCAGCATTATCAATGAAATCTGTTTTGATACAAAACAATTAGGAAACAATAATTTAATATTGTTAATCAGTCATTTCTGAAAACAAACGAGATGGAAGTGACTTCAAGTGCATGCATTTATAAAATTCCAGAAGTACAAATTCATGTGTTCTAGAATTAATGGAAACCTAACGTGAAAATGTTCTTATGTAAAAGAAATATACCATATAAAGTGCCATCTTTAATTTCAAACAAATCTTCGTGGACCTCTAGACCGACCGTTGTCTCTGTAGGTTGATTATCTTCTGTGTGTCTCCTTTGAAGCTTTCTAAGAAGAGTTGTTTTACCTGCGCCTGCGCATCCCACTATCATACCTCGTGCTCGGAACATTTCTACTCTCCCATGGCGAAGACTCTCAACAAATCTTTCTCTGGCATTCAAATTCCATGTCAAAATCTCCATGGGTATGTTAACTAGATGAAAATTAAATGTTGAATATCTTAATTTCTTAATTTATTTAGAGTGACATTATGCTCTCTCTCTCTCTCTCTCTCTCTCTCTCTCTCTCTCTCTCTCTCTCTCTCTCTCTCTCTCTCTCTCTCTCTCTCTCTCAAGTTGTTTGACAGCTGTGAGAACAGTCATAAAGTGGACTGCAGGGTGGTCAATTATTTGTTAATTAAATTCTTACTTATCAAAGGTACTTGTTTCGTTTCGATATTTATGTTGAGTCAATCTTTAAAAAAGTCCTGGATGGTATGTTACTTTTAAAAACTATTTCATAAAATTCATGTTAACAAAATTAATGTATATGTAATGTGTTTGACGTCGTTGCAAACCATGGTTTAGCTGTAAAACCCTCTCTCTGTCTAACGAATGCGCTTTATACTAGTAATTGCCTGGCGACTATTTTATACCTCCGCTTGAATATTGCGGGGGTATTGAAGGGTGCCCATCGCTTATACAACTCCTCCTTTACCAGTTAATAATATATAATGATACTTTCACAGATTCTATTTTACACTTTGTTCTGAAATTTTAGGGGGTCTCTCGGGTTAATTCTTGGATTTTGTCAGCGTGTTTATTTGGTGAGTTAGTGTTCAAATACATCTAGATGTGTAAAGAAGTCAGATGCCGCCTTAATTTTATCGGACTGTCTTAGATTTATTAATTCTTCAAAGTGCGACAAAACCGTTGCACTGGAAGACAGAAGCCAATTTTTAATCTGTATCACATTAGTCGTATTTTTTATAACATTAGTTATATTTTTCTTATGCAAATTATATATTGTCTCAGTAAATAGCATTTGAAAAAACCCTTTACCACCTTTTTCATAGGAGCAACTTTCTTATCGTCAAAAGGCTAACACAAGACGGCAAAAGTAGTTGTCTTCTAAAAACTGTAGTAGTAGTAGAATTGTGTTCAGTGTTCGTTGTGGACAAGTACATGTACATGTATAACAAGCAAATAAAGTGACGTGTTACGTCTCTTTCTCTCAAGAAGAATTTGGATGTTTTTATTGGAATATCAAGCAAAATAAATTCACTGACAGTGTGTAACAAAATAGCAATGGTTATGTTTAAGTACATATATTAATTATGGTTGGTAGAATTTAGAAAAGACTTATACTGTATTCGACCCTTCGACAAGGTTGCTCCGGAGGTATAGCGCTCACTCCGTCAGTTCGAATCTTGCTGGCGATCGATAAAAAAATGGGTAGGAAATTTTCCTTCGCCATGCACTCGGCGCTTTAAGTGAAACAGCGAGTCCTTCGTATGAGGCTTTTTAAACCTTGATCCACTGTCACTGCAAGCGTTGGCACAATAAAGATCCCTCACTTTTTAATTGCCCTGAGTGCCGAGTAAAGGTCGAAATTCGAAGTCCTTCACCGGTGAATGTTCACGTATCTACATGAATTAAAACTTCTGGAACGGGACCTTGAACAATATAAGAATTTTAAGGTTCCTTAAAATACTTTATGTATATTGATAATGTATTTCTTTCTCAAATGCTGGAGTTATCGCTCTTGCGATACACTCGAGCTTAATTTCAATAGCATCTTCTTATATGGTAAGCTATGTGAGTGCGGCTGGATAGAACCAATAGAATCGTGTCGCGGGAAACTGAAGGTGCGTCTTTTTAAAGATAGCGTGGGTTCGCCACTTTCTTTCAGGACGCCGGACGATTAACTTGTTGGAAATTTTTCTACGAATTTTATTCGATTTTAAGCGGTAAGATATATTTTACTTGGTATTTATTCATGGATTCTAACAAAATACTTATTTTGGGTCACTCTTCGTCGCTTCCATCAATTCCTTAGAAGTGAAGCTGACGATAGATATAATGAAGACCTCGGCCTCCAAGCGACACACCAAATAATTTTTAGAGGTGTTGGAGGCCGCACAATATCGGGCATTCTCCGCCAAGAAGCGACTTTCATAGAACGGGTGAAACCGGATAAAATAATCCTTCTGGTTGGAGGTAATGATGTCCGAGGTGTCAGTTCCCCCGAGGAAATCGCGGGGAATTTAGAATCCACTGTCTCGGTTCTCCACAGTAGATTTTGAGTTTCACAAATTCACGTATGCAAATTATTGCCATGTTTTAATCAAGCATTTAATTACAACGATATTGTAGACGAAGTGAATGCTCTGCTGAATTCCTCTCTTCAAGAGTTCTAATTTGCTTCTTTTGGGGATCACAATGACCTGTTCCCTTCGCCCAATCGCAAGGCGTGCAGCCATAAATTTCTTCCAGACGGCGTCCACCTTAATAAGCAGGGTAATGTACATCTTTATCGGAGCTTGCGTGGTCTTATTTTATCAAGAATGCGATGAATGTGTTGATAAAGAAAATCCCATTCGTTTCATAAAAAAGTTTGTTCAAAGTCACAAAATATATATAAAATAATAAATAAATAAAAAATAATAATAAAAAAATACAATGATATTAGGATTCTCGAGGTTTTCCTTCAAATAAATGTTTTCTGAAATAATAATCATAAATTAAAATTAAAATTAAATTAAAAAAAAATATTTGTTTGAGAAGTTCAAGTCTATTTAGTTTGTTGATACTAAATCACAAGGATTTACTTTTATTTTCTGAGAAGACTTAAAAAAAATATATAAATAAACATATTATAATTAACATATGCCTCTTGGAGGCACATCTCACTGCATTGGAATAAAATTGAATTGTGGATTATTCTTACCCCCTTTTCGGGGCTCATTTTATTGCTTTTTATTCCGAGATGAATTTTTATTTCACGCCTCTACGAGGCTCATCTCATTGCACGGGAATCAACACAATTTACTTGTGTTTTTCCGAGATGTATTTTTATTTAACGCCTCCCCGAGGCTCATCTCATTGCATGGAAATTAACACAATTTACTTGTGTATTTCCGAGATGTATTTTTATTTTACGCCTCCCTGAGACTCATCTCATTGCACGGGAATCAACACAATTTACTTGTGTATTTCCGAGATGTATTTTTATTTTACGCCTCCCTGAGGCTCATCTCATTGCATGGGAATCAACGCAATTTGCTTGTGTTTTTCCGAGATGTATTTTTATTTTACGCCTCCCTGAGACTCATCTCATTGCACGGGAATCAACACAATTTACTTGTGTATTTCCGAGATGTATTTTTATTTTACGCCTCCCTGAGACTCATCTCATTGCACGGGAATCAACACAATTTACTTGTGTATTTCCGAGATGTATTTTAATCTTACGCCTTCCTGAGGCTCATCTCATTGCACTGGAATTAACACAATTTACGTTAACTTGTGTTTTCCCGAGATGTATACTTATTTAATTTTATGCCTTTCCAGAGGCTCATCTCATTACTCGGATTTAATTACACTGTAGCACTATTCACTTGTTTTATTATGGGGATACATTAATTTACGCCTCCCTCGAGGCTTATTTAATTGCAATTAAAAACCCAAGTATACTGTTCTTTGAGGAATATTTGACTACATTATTATAACATAAATTACTTGCTTGTTTCTGTGAATTAATCTGTGATGCCTGCAGAATAATCAGTCCATTAATTGTGGTTAAGGATAATATATTACTTACAGATCAACATTCCGGAATATCAAGGCTTGCTCATATCATTTGCCGGTTTATAATCACCGGATGTTTACAGATTAACCCTTCTATTTATAGTGGTCAAGAGATAGGAGCTATATACACTAACCAAAGGCAGTTTATTTGTATTTCAGTAGCCTATCCATCATTTATAATCATGCCACCTAAGAGAAAATCAACGAAAGCTAGAGCAGTACCAATCCCTGTCTCCAAACATAACAAAAGACGACGGGTACATGGATCAAATATGGAACCGTTGGCGACAGCTACTGTAACACCTCTTTCCCCTGACGACCTGGGAACTATCACAAGACAAGTTACGCAGCGGGTCACAGCCACAATAAGAGAGGAGTTAACTCAACACTCATTAGCAACGTGACCAGCACCACAACCAATAGTCAGGGGAGTATTAGTAATAATACTGTGGGTGCTCCCGTCATTACTAATCCAAACCTAACTAATTCTGTTACTTGTGAGCAAGATTCGGCAGCTGCATGTGCACCCAATGAACAAGCTATTCAACAGTCGGTTGAAGCCTTGGTCATTAACCATACTGAAAAGATAGCAGGTAAGAGTCCCAGTGGTTTTGTCAGTACGACAGTTCCAATAGACGCTAGGGTGTCTGGTCAACTCAAGTCCAAAATTTGGTCAAACCAGTTTGTTGACTTCTTAAAACTGCTGTCTAAGGACAAACAAAAGAAAGGTAAGTTTTCTCTACAAGTGTAAGATGGTGACAGTCCCGGTAAGTTGACAATCCACCAGGTGGACAACGATTCATTAAACGACACATCTGTCTCTTCCATGCATGACTGACTTACAGCATGGAACAGATTTTCAGCAATTTATTGCATGAAATATCCCGATCAACAAGCCAAATTGGCAAAGCATTTAGAAGCTGTCAGGGAAATAGCAGATGCAAAAGGTAATTGGAAAGATAATGATAGGGACTTTAGAACACTAGTCGCCCAGGGTCAAGTTGCCTGGGGGGATGCCCACATGGTATGTCAACGCAAGACTGACAACAAGCCAGACAACAAAACTAAGTAAAGGTAGTAAAGACGTACAGTATAAATCAATGCCCAAAGGTGCCTGCTTCCAGTATCATTCAGGTAAACACTGTCAGGCTGGAATGGCATATCGTTTTCAGCATAGATGCTTTAACTGTTCTGGGGCACACCCATTTGTTCACTGCACAAAACCAACTAAGCATCCCTTTCGTGTCATGCAAAAATACCAAAACCAAACAAGCAATACAAATAAACAAGCTACCCAAACAAAAACAAACTCATCTTCCAAACAAGGGCCTTACGCCAATCAAGGCAAATAGACTTGCTCACTGGTTATCTGGTTATGATGAATATGAAACTAAATATTTAATTG